TTAATCGCCTCTGACAATTCATTAACATTATGAGCTGCCTTTATTGTTTCTTGCATACTTTCTTCACCGGCTGCAGTCGAAGTGTCTTCTCGAAGAATTTTATTTAAGTCATGTTCAATACCAAGATATTGAACAATATTTCTTAATTGATCTTTTGTTGGTGGTTGTTTTTGATAATCGAGAACATCAAGTTTGAATATACCTGGTTGTTTTTTTAAAGCTTCATGAAGGATTGAAAGAGCTACATTTGACTTGCTACAGGATGGGTTATATATGAGTGTGATGATCGGTTGTGTAAATGGCATGCGGAAAGACATTTTTTTGGAGATACCAGATACCATGTACGTACGTACGTACACAAAATACCGTATTTGTGATCATGTGAAAGGTGTATTCGTAAAGGTCACAAGATAAATATTCAATAATTAATTTAATAAAAAATTTTTTATAAATAGCAAATACAGCTCCCGTAGCAAAGTGGCAATGCGTCGTGCTTATAGGTTGTACCCTATACTTGAGCAACGCGAAGGTCGCGAGTTCGATCCTCGCCGGGAGCAATCAAAAATTTTTTTTTCACATAAGCCTGAAATAAATGCATCATTTTTTTTGTAGCATATTTGGGGTTGTGTTACATAATTTACATTGTTGTTCGGAGCGTAGCTGAGGACGCTATTTTTGATGCATCAACTGTTACGTTTTTGATTGACTTCTTTATTATTTATATTATCTTATCAAAAAAACAATTTTAAAAATTCATGCGTTTGTTACACGCAACCAGTGTTGTGCAACGGTTTGTTCATTGGTAATTGTCACTTCCTTTTGTTTTCTTATTTATCATGTCATGTAATAGATAAGACAATAAAAGGACTGCACGTAACCATGTAACCCGAACACAGTTCTAGAGCTTGGAACCGATTTTATTTTTCATATGTTAAAATCGATTAAGCCCGGTTTTAACATATGAAAAATAAAACCGGTTCCAAACTCTACACAGTTCTGTACTTTACCATCCAAGCACAAATCCTATTGTAAAATGCCGGAGAATTCCGTTTAATGATGTCAATTTTCCGTTGTTT